ATTCCTTTAATAACACAGAGAAAACAATATTTCTATTTAACAATGCTGACACTTTTATTTGTAAAAAACTGGGTTACCTTACATATGAAGCACTACAAATAAGAGAACTTTTTAACCCTAGAACTTAAAATGAAGAATCTTGTAACTAACTATGTTTATTTTTCTTTCTGGTTGCTGTTGTAATTTGTTTCGTTTTTGAATTTTTCATTTAACGATTATGTATTTAGGTAACACCATTTATATGGGAATACCAATAAATTGTCGTTGTTGTTGTTGGATTGCGCGCCATTACAGCGCCGAGCTACAAACAACCAAACAAGCTCTTACAACTTCAAAAAAACTCAACTGAATTTACTTACAGTGACTTTCCTTGCCATTTAAAGGTGAAAGAGATAATCTTGCGTTGATTATTCGTCGATGGAAATGTAAAAAGGTCGAAAGATTAACGATTACCGCTAATTCGTTCACGAAAATAGATCGACTTGACGGATTCCGCCCACTGTGCCGGTCCGGATGAGAAAACTCCGCCCGCTCCAGGAACCAATCAGATTGCAGGATTTGTTGAATTCCGCCCGCTCACGAGCTGAGAAGAAGATAAGATAAAAATAAAAACGCGCGCTCGTGGAATGATTGTTTAATATACTCACCTTTCGTCATATCTTTGTCAGTGTTGAACACTTTCTACTGCAATCCCAGCATAATGAAAGTTTGGGATTATACGATAATCTTGAAGACAGCCTATTGCGTTGAGGACAGTGAAAACGTTCTTAAAGTTATTGCCGTTCTCTTATTCAGTTGTTTTTTTTGCGCTCTATTATTTACTGTATTTAACTGTAGCTTTGTTGTTTTTGCCATATTATGTTTTTTTGTATCAGCGGCTTATAATAAGAAGCAGATTTAAACACAGGTTTCCTTTCGCAAAACATTTTGTATTCGTCATTATTATATGGCTGTCTGACAAGGACTGGGAACTACCGAATTCACGAAATCGGCATTGAAAGCGGTCTAGATTTTGCCATCTAGACCGATAATGTTTGAGGTGAAAGAGTTGCAAATTAAAATGCAAAATATTGACTATTTTCTTCTAACAACATTTCTTTATGAAAGTGTCAAAAGGCTGATGAGGAAAAAAACAGTAAAGAGGACGGACAAACTTTGGCAGAATTAAATTCAGCTCATCGCCGTTCGTAAGCAAAGAGCCAACTAGTACAAACCAGTTACATTAACGAATTATACTGTTCTCGTTTGCCATATAATAAACATCTTATTAACCGAGCTAAGACGGTCTGTATGGGAGAATCTTGACCTCGGTCGTGTGTACAGACCTCATTGCGTTCGGTCTGTACTTGCGACCTCAGTCAAGATTCTAGCATACAGACCTCCTGCTCGGTTAATAAGAGCTAATTATAAAATAACTGAGCTACTACGCGCGCTCTCATTGGTCGATAGGTGTGTTTAGATGAGAGTACGTACACACGGTTGTGACGCTTTAGATTCGCCTGTATTTTTGAGATTTCTTTTATAAAAGCAATAGAGCACTTTTTCCATGTTTACATGGCCTCATCTAAACACACGAAGGGTTGGGAGAATTCCCGAGAGTTATAAGCACAACTTTCTCCCAACTACCTCGTGTTTCGATGAGCCTGTGTAAACACAGAAAAAGTGTCTTATTGCTCAATTATAATTCATCGAATATTTTCGCTCGCACGCGATTGGTCTAAACACATCACGTGACTGAATATGCCCATGCTGAAACTCTGGAATATCCGAGTGGTATTCCCCAAAATTCGTGTTGCGATAAATCTTTGAAGGATAATGACTCAATAGTCTCCATTTGGCGTGAAAATATGCTCGGATATTTGTCCGCCGATATTATCTGTTCCTCGAAGCTCACAGTTTTCCTCAAGCTTTGCTCTCGGAAAACAGTTCGCTTCTTGGAACAGATAAAGTCCGCGGACAAATATTCGAGCATATTTTCACGCCATATGGAGGCTATTGTTTATGTAAAGTGTATACTTAATTGGTTACTCCCCAGTGGGGCTTTTCAGGACCAATGTAAACAAACAATAATAAATAAATATTCAAATAAACATAACTAGGTTAAGAATCCCTACTAGCGGGAGGCAGACCAGTTGGCTATTTACAACCGCAGCCGAGAAGTTGAACTCGGGGCTACCGAAAACATTGTCAGTTAGCGGTCAGAACGGGATTTGAACCCGGGACCTACGGATTTCAAATCAGGCGCTCTAACCACTCGGCCACGCTGCCTCCGTACTTATCACTATCATTTTAATTCCTTACATGCGCGCGAAATGGGAACCTTAAAGCGTAAGGAATGACTTTCGGCTCAGTTGACGAAAACAAAACTATTATGTTATGACTTAAGTTAGGAGAAATTTAGTTTAAAATTATCTTGGAGGGCATCTTCATGTAGCTATCATCATCTTATAGAGAAAGGAAACAAAATTATCGTGAAATTTACCTTCAAAGTTAGCATGCAAGACCGTACATTTCAACGAACTCCGCTTGCACCCGCTGCATTCGACTTAACACTTCTGATACGTAGACCAGCTTTACGACACGAAACTCGTCTACGTTAAAAGCAGTTAACGATCTCTACAAGAAAGCATTTCGTAAGTAAGCTTAAATGCATGTTGAATCTACAGCAAAACTTCCAAGCGCCATTTCAACTTCAGCGAACACATGTGAGAGTACAGGGTGAATAATTTATGTGGATTTGAAATTCAAATGACCTTCCTGACACCACGACCACGAACTTCAAAAAACAAAACAAAAGGTTTGAGGCTCCGTCCACACTACGGTGGAGAAATTTAAAAACGCGGCTTTATTTCCACGGTTAGGCCTACCGTCCACACTAACGCTCCGTTTACACGGACGCGGTTTCATTTGTAGCCTCATCTTTTCGATGCAGTTACGCCTTCCGTTTACACGGCGACGATGGAATAATCAATGAAACCGCGTCTTTTTGAAGACGCTGTTGAAAGTGGAGCGTTTCCAAAACTATACAGTTTCATGTGCCGCGTAAACGGGGGTAACCGTGTCTTTTTGAAAACGGCTTCCGTTTGGCGCGAAAATATCTCGTATTTTTGATGTCGGGACTCCCAATCAACAATTCCTGCACTTTTAGTGACTTTGAATCCGTCCGTTATTCACAAAAGAAGCTTTTCCTCGTTATCAGTCCAAACGAGATCACTGAAATTTTTACGCTTCGCCACTTCCAAACAAAATGGCGACGCCTCAAGGTGTAATCGTCTCCGGATCTCTTGTAACAAAACATGTCGCGGCCAGGACTAGGCTCGATTACCAGCCGCTGTTCGGGAAAGGAGGGGAA